GTTTAACTTTATGGTCATTTTGAGGCTTTGTCAGACTGGATTGCATTATATAAGAGTGCATAAGAGTCTCCATTATTTTGTCCCCCGCAAGTGTGGTTTAGGCCACAGTCCTAGTTCTTCATGTGCAGAGGTTGACAGACGTGCAAATCATAAATCTGCTGACCTTTCAGCATGACGAACAAATGATGGAATTTCTAATCCCCGTAAGTAAATGAATTTCCACCCTGTTAGGAATCCGAGCCCTAATGCACTTTAATAATTCGATGACGAGGTTTTTCATGATGTTCGATTAAAATGAGCAACTAGCAGAGTTTCACACTGAGGCACGCTATTCTGCTTCTTACAACGAGAGAGTAAGGAAAACCAAATCTCCAGGTCCTGTTACTTAAAAAAAATAGGTATTTTTATCTCCAACAGTGTTTGTGTGTGTGTGTGTGTGTGTGTGTGTGTGTGTTTCTATGATGTTGAACAGCATGTGAGCAAAATGCCCATGGCTAAGTGCTTTTATTCTGCTGTTGTGATTGTTGTGCTTGTTTTCTGGATATTTGGCTCTTACATAAACCACATTTTTGACCTTTTTTTTTCTAAAAGCACTCAGATGATGACAAACAGCTACACTTCCCACGTACCTGGATAGATAAACACTGACACAAAGACATGGAAGGTCTATTAAACTTCATCCCACCTGAAACATCATTGTGGTCAGGGTTCTTTTACGCCATGTGACATGGAGCTGTTTATGTTAATGTATGTTTAGCTCAAGGCGTCTATTCCCTCAGTTATTTAAAGAAACAAGTTATTTCAGGATCAGCTCCTCTACCCTTTGGCACATGCTCCTCTTTCACTGAAAAAATGCTCACTGCTGGGAGAGGGAGAGGGTCGGGGAGGATAAGAAAGCGGGTGAAGAATCAGTGCATCATGTAATATTCCCTTTGAATGTATTTAACTTCACAATATTTGAATGTACACTTTAAACCCATGTTATGTAATCTGTTTATTTATTATGTTTACACTGTTGTTTACAGGCTTATAATGCAAATTCTGCTGATGTTCAGAGTAAAATGCATGCAGGAATAATGAATGTTAATGTCAAGTGTTTGATATTGATAATTCAGTACAAATGAGAGCAGAAAAGAATAGAGATAGCCTTTTTACCCAAATTTGGTAAGATATCAAGAGGTTGTGACACTGTGAGAGTGTGCACACTTGCTCTGCATCGCGTATTCGAAGAGATGAGAAGGAGCCTGTATCTCCCTATCTGTGCTGCTCATGTATCTATTTCTCAAAGCTCAGTGGAGTTGAGCTGCTGTTCTGATGTCTGCCTTGATGTTATTCATGTCAAGAATCTCTTGATGAAGTTCTGTTTGCAACAAAGTGACAACAAGGGTAGATAATGGTTTTATGACTGCGGTGGTCACAGAAACAAATTTTGTTTGTGGTTTATTTTTGAGGTGTTTAAAATATTAGTACTTGACTTAATTATCTCAGGTTTGTGGGACACTTTTACTCCTTAGAGTTATTAATGTTTACTCTACTCCACTGAATGTGTTGTTGCAATACCTGATTGTTTTAACTTTATCTAAAGAATGCAAGTGATTTTTCCTCTGCTCGTCAGTTTTGTGTGGACATACAGAAAAAGATATTTGTGTGTAGTAGAGCACTCAGCACCCTATTTACATTACACACCTGCTTTCCCCGAGGCCAGCTGTGGTGTAAAGACAGCTGGGTAGCATTCAAAAAGGAAGCGTCAGTATTTACTTTTCAACCCATCAATCAATCTGTAATTTGCATGCACGGTAGACTTGCGTGTTTACTATGAGCTACTGTTAACCTTCTTACAAGAGTATGTGTATAGTCTCAAATGTCTATGGTGTATTTGCATATTTATAGCAGAGACACATGCTGATGATTCCCTTATAAAACACAAACTGTATTAGTAATTATGCCAGCATTATGTAAGTCAACTTTCTTGCTCTGTCTTGTTCTTTCATTCTAAACTTTTCATATAATTACATATGCTGGCAACCAATAAAAGACAAGCACATTAACCCTGAGGATATGATGGCAATGCTTTGGAGTGCTAATGCTAAAGTAAGCATACACAAATGAGTGTACAAGTAAATCTCAGATGTGTAATATGTGCATTACATATTGGCGAGAGCAAAAAGGGACAGTCTCCTGTAAATGTTTATCATGTGCATCCTTCTTCTGAGTTATTGCTATGCTGGTCATCTGAGGTTCCCTGCACTTTTTCACGCAGTGTGTGTGCAGCTCAGAGCACGTGCCTGTCAGTGGTGTGAAGGGGATGAGAACTGATAGCTCTATATATAGAAATATATGTATGTGGAGGCTTAAGATTGGACTGTGAAGGAGAGTAATGGAGGATTGCCTAGCATACTAACAAGGGTTACGCAGGCCGCTCCATACACGCCATATATTAATGCTGGGTGTGTATTCTATATATTTGTGAAGAGCAAATTAAGGTTTAAACTCTCAGAGTGAGGTGCATGCGTGTGTGTGTTTGTGTGTGATTGTGTAACCGTTGACAAATAAAGGAAAAGGGGGACGTGGGTTATAGTATACTTCAGATTTGAAACAGCTGATATGTGGTTGTGTGTGTTGTGTGTGTGTGTGTGTGACCATCTCTCAGGCTCGAAGCTATGCAAACTCTAACGTCATCATGGTAGCCCCAAGATCTCAAGATCACGCTCTGTTACACAAGAATCTTCTCATCATTCATATATGTGTGCATGTGTGTGTGTGATGTGCTGTGTACACAGTATATGTGAGTCCCCTCTCCGTAATCCTCATCACTTTTCTTTCTCATCTTGTTCTAAAATCCTTTTCTCCTTCACCTCTATCTTTTTGAGTTTACTCTTTTTATACCAATCATGGGGTTTCAGAGCACAGCGGGCAGACGCAAGAGGATATTCCATCATGTAGGGAGAGGACATAAAACACAAGATCTGGCAAAAGAAATGCAAATATCAAAGCATCAGGTGTGCAGGACTGCGTGTAGTTGCATTATTGGCAGCACCATTAACGCATGTCATTTACACTCTTACAGAACTTTTCTTGTCACATTATTTGCTGTGTGATTTCCACAAGGTACAGAATAACAAATGTAACAGCAGCCTAAAATGGGTGTGGATTTTCTTGTTGGATTTCCTGGAGAACATCACTGTTATTACTATCATTACCGCTATTGTCCCGCCTCTTACTGACCCTGGGGCAGAACGGTTTCTTTTGGTTGTTGATGTTGCACAAGGCGCAGAGATAACTGCTGCAGTGCATTTGTTTCTGCTATTTAGATCACACTAAAGGTCATCTTAAAGCATTATAGAGACTTTCTGCTCAGATAACCATATTTAGTTGGAGCCTTTATGAAAATGTCTATTTGGAATAAAGGGGCAAATTGTATAGTAGTGGTATAAATAGTCTAATATCTGAAAATACATAATGTAAATGCACTTACACTTTAGCATACAGTACTCCCATCATATTATGTGTACTAGTTTCTGGAGACTCTTCTTGGGTGCCACTGGTGGTTCATCTTCCTCTCTTTTAATAACTGCAGTAGTCGTATATTCTGCTAAAACTGTCGTTTCAGCAGAAAACGCAGCGGTAAACCAATAAGGCTGCGGAGTGCTCACTGCAGGGATGACAACAGTCTCCTTCAAAGAGCTGCCCAAGCTGAAGCTCTGCATTTGGTATATTGGTCATGTCAGATAGCCTCTCACTAATTACTTACTGTGGAGCATGAAAAGAAGACATCCTGTTAGACTGTTCTATCCAGACGCAGTATGTTTTTGGGAGTTTGGAAAGGACAAGCAACAAATCTTGTAATTTTACACATTTTTAACAGAAGATGAAGAAGAATAAAAAGTTTTATAACTACTGTGGTCGCCACTAAAATCTATGGAAGTATTTAAGAGGCTGCAGCAATATAAAAACATGTGAAACAGCACCACAATAGTCTGTATGGGGGAGTCGTGAATACATTTGCTGCTACTGATATGTCATTTTCTGAGTGGTATTTTCATCCTCCTATCCTTTACTTCCTGTTCCACCCACCACAGCAGTCTGGCCTGTGAGTTGAGGATGAGGTGATTTTTGGAAAGGTGTGTGCGGGGGCGCAGAGGAGGCAGAGCCGGAAACGAGGGAGGAGAGATGGCTGGACTTAATCTGCGCAGATTAACTGTAGATTGATGTTTTTGTCAGAGAATCGTCACCTCTCGCTCCAGATTAATCTCTGACCACTTCATAAGGACGGGGCGGTGAAGGGATTGGCTGCAAAATCATCCTGTGACAAGATATTTTACTTGAAATTCAGAATGATAATCCCCTTTTCAGTATTAAGGGCCTTTCTTAATCCCTGCATATGTGTAATTTGATACTATAATGCTAGACAGAAAGGCATATGTTCCAAATTCGCATTTTAAGTTTTTTTTAAGGTGACATCATGAATTATATAACTCTATGTTTTGCTGGGCTGCCCTGCCTTTGTGTGTGTGTGTGTGTGTGTGTTCGTGCTTGGCTGGCTAAGTAATGACGCATTTCTTCATAACTAACTGAAGGACAGATGATCCAAATGTTTATGTGACTGTCACCCGTCAGCTGCTGTTTCTGATCCTTATTAGGAGCTAATCATCCTAGTTTTGAGTGTGCACAACATTACACAGTTTAAATAATCCTGCAGCAGTTTAAGGCCCTGTGTGCAATCTGTTCCTAGATTCCAAAGTTGTTGTCTCTCCAGCTTTGACAGTTAGACTTTTCTTCTTCTTGTCTGTTTCAATCTTTACCTCTCACTCCCTCTGGCCAGCACGAATTGTTGGCCCATGATGCAATCCCTCGTCCCTGCTAGTTTAAGTTTCCCAGCCAATCGGAGTGGGGCAGTAGGAGGATACCCAGTCAGCTCATGCTTGTAAACAGCACTGACAGTAGGAGGGACTTTGAATTTAAAGTCCCACCCTCTGTTGTCATCCCTGCTCAGCCTTTTTCAGTGTGTGTGTGCTGAACGGAAAAGGGAAAAGGCGAGAGAAGGGAAAGGGAAAAGGAAGAGTGGTCAGCAGGGCTGAGGGGAAGAGAGGAGGGGGGTGCATGTGTGACTCAAAGGGTGTGTGCTGATTATTCAGTGTGACACTGACTTAACACAGAGCTGCCATGGAGCCTTCTAGGCTGATCTACTCCACACTTCTGACAGTAGGTAGTCTTTCTGTCAACTCATGTGTTTGTCCTCATGTACATGCGTGTGTGTGTATGACTTCACCGTATCCACTCAGCTGTTACCAGAGAGGAGTGTGTGAGTTTGTAGGAGTGTGTCCAAGCTGTCAGCACATATCCATTGGTTCTGTACAGGTGCGTGACAGTGAGCAGAAAGCAGAAGGACTGATACTTTTACTGTACTTTTCCTGTTAAACTCTCTGTTCCTTTCACCTGCCCTCCTGTTGAACTGGGAAGAAGACGTTTAATTTCCTGTGTTGTCTACTCCCTTTTTTCAGCTCCACGTGTGTGTTAGAGGAGATGCACATGAGTTGTGAGGATCCTATTGTACAGTAAACCAACAGCAATGGTTTCAGTGTGGAACGAGACAAAGAAAACTGTTACTTTTGTATTCGGTAAAGACTGCAGTGAATAGACTTATTGTGTGGTAACTCCAGGGGTGTCACACACAAACATGCTGCACACATGCGCACAAACACACAAACACACACACAATTAGTTACACATGCAAATGCTGTAATCCTGAACGTTTGGGGAATTATTCAGGCTAAGGTCACTAGCAACATTACTGCTGTTATTACTGCTCATATAATGGCCCGAGAATTATAACACATTTCATTTTGATGGTATTAGTTGACAGCTCTCTGCAGAATGTGTCCTCTCATGAATCATTTTTTGAAGCTTTCTGCCTGGGCTTGGCTTTATTCCATCCTGCTGCCTTTAACTGCAGAGCCCAGAATCTGAATCTGTACGTCTTCACTCATTTTTTTCTACTTGCCAAGCCTGTCAAGTTAACTGGTCATGGTTACTTTAGAGCATCGAAACTAAGCATCGTGGCCTACTTAGCAGTTTAAGTGGGCATGAATGAAGTTCGGACCATGTGAAAATACTGTCTGTTGAATCCAAGTAAGTATAAACATTAACATGAGGACCCACCCACTCCTGCACATGCCTGCATGACTGTCACATGTCTGTTGTTGCACCATGTATGCATTTTACATTTTCATTAACTTGATAGTAAAGCTGAAACAGACAAGAGCTTTGTAAAATGCATTTCATACATCAGCTATACGTTCAAAGGAAATGTTAAATAAACTGTACGTTTATTTACTGCAGTCCTCTGTGACTGAGTCCTAACAGATGGTTTTAGCTTTTTTTCATCCAAATGTTTTGAGAAAATCTTATTTGGGATTTACTGTGCTCCAGATTAATCTTTTACTTATTTTACATCCAATAAAAATGTGTTTTAAAATATAACTAAATGTTAAAGTAATGGACCAGCCACTTCACTCTCCAGCAGTCCTAAGACCCCTGGTCTTATTTTAGTGTCACTGTCATTGCTTCCTCGCCTACCCACTAATACACGTGTCTAAATTTAGACAGACGTCATTACAGATGATATTAGTATCTGTGTGTTCTAGCACAGAAAGAGAATGGCAGAGAAGTGTGAGGACTGTACTGTGCAGCGCATCCTGTGGTTGATCCTTCTTTAGTTCTGTGTTCTATCGAGAGACATTCAAGCTTCTTTTCATCCGAATTCAACTGAGACAACCGGATACTCTTGAAGTGCCTGTTTTAAGCACAAAATTTAAAGAGAACAATGCATATTTCGATTTGGACAAAACATAAGCTACTTACCAGTAATCATTCCTGCCTGTCCCTTACAAGAGTGTGAATGTGACATGTTGTTCTCCTCGTTGACAGTTTAAGAAGTGACCTGTACCCTCCCAGTCTAGAGAGTCATTCGATTCTGTGTGTGTGTGTGTGTGTGTGCGTGCAGTGGGCAACAACTGACAATAGGACATGAGCAGAGATGGGACATAGGGGATTGAGTGCTGTATTAGATCCAGCAGTGACAGATGTGCAGACGGGGGGAGAGTCTGGTGGGGGAGGATGATTATTAGTGTGTTTGTTTTTTGTGTGTGTGTGTTCGATGTGTATGTCCTTGTCATTGATTGTGTAATATTCATAACTACTGTATATCTTACAGCCAGGCATGTTTGTTTGGGGCACAAGCTGCTCTTCGCTCATCCCTGCACTTTGTATGAGCGTCTATGTCTGATACATTAACAATGTACATGTTGACCTACTGAGAAAATGTGGCTGGACTACATGCAGGAGTTAGTTAGCAACACAGATAAAAATGGCAAGCAGGATATTAATCAAAAGTGCCATTTTTAAGCCATAGGTCAAGTCTGGTGAAATTGTTTTCAATACAAATACATGTTGTCATGGCGGCAGTAGCATCTTTTAACATACCAGTGTAATTATTATGCCATATGTGTTTGGGCTTGCACTCATGAATGTTAAAGTGGGCCACAATGGAGACATATAAGGATTGTGTTGCTATATCCAAACCTTTAATTTCCATAATGGATGGGGTTATGTAATGCATAGGGGCTCCTCTGTCCTGGTCACCTCACTGAGTTTAGTTACTATTTGAAATAGTCACATATATGCATACCACTTATTTGCATACACTTTATGTCGTACACTGACAGAATTCTGTGTTTAAAGGCAACATGAACTCTTTTCTAAATTTAAGCACAAGGCTGCCACCAACATTTAAATGTAGAATTTATGAACTGTAAATCTAGGTGTATGTACATAATCAGAAACGACTGACTGAGCTTTTTATAAACTTTATTTGATTTATTTTTAATTGTGTATGTTGTATCTAGAGACAATATGGCTGTGGTAGATTGCAGTATGAACCAAAACAAAGTTCAGCAGTAGTGACTTGTAAATATAGACGGACTGACAAGCAGAAATAGAAGGAAACATAGACGCTACTCAGCACGTTCTCTTTTCAGTCACACACAGTTCATGTATGCGCGTAACTCACATCACTCAATCACACGCGTCCCATGCATTAGGACTGTGTATTTTTAGAATGTTTTTGTGTACCTGGGAGGGCCAGGAAAGGTTGTTTTAATGCATTATTGTGGATCTGTAATAAAAGGCTCTTCTAGTCTCTTTTATTTTCCTGCGTTGGTGTTAGCCGAGGTGTTAATAAAAAGCCAGGCACATGGCCATACTGGTTTGTCTACATCTGCTGCTGTCTGTACACTCAGGATTGGTGCGTGCTTCTATTTCACACAGTTCTCTTTCAGATGGCTTTTGTCTGGTATTAACCTAGAAATAACACCGTAACAATGGGCACGTTTTTGTACTAATCAAGGAATTAAACAGCTTTGTTAACTTCGGTGCCTGGTACCTCCTGTGGTAAGTTTGCTGAGCTCTTGAAAAGCTTTTATATTCTTTTATATCTTTGTCTTTCTGCAGGTTTACTGCTATAATTGTCCGTGGCTTTAAATGTCCTCTGCCATGGCAAAGCGTGAGGCTGGGAGCACCAGCCCTGTGGTGCGTCAGATAGACAAGCAGTTTCTGGTCTGCAGCATCTGTCTGGACCACTACTGCAACCCCAAGGTCCTGCCCTGTCTGCACACCTTCTGTGAAAGGTAACTAACATTTGTGTTCTCTGCTTCAATGACAACTGGCAAAATTCCTAAGTACCTACACTTCCCCCAAGCTAAACCTGACACAAACCCAAGTCTCTGCTCACACCGTCTGCTACGTGTAGCTTTTTCTGGCCATGCAAAGACAGTGATACAACACACTTTTTACCGTAGCTCTTTTCTTTCCCTGCCAGTACTTATCCTTCCATCCTATTCCTTAAGAATTCTTGTCATCTTTACATTTCCCCTAATAGAGGAACCTCATCTGTTGCAAATCCCTTCCCATAATTAAACAGCTCAGAGCACTTCTCCTTACCAACTCCACTGGGATAAGTGCATTCCTTAGCATCAGGGACCATCAACCTCTGCAGTCTGAGAAAAGACTCATTGTTGGGAGACACAATCACAATGCTTCAATCTACAGTTCCTCAGAAAGATGACACCCCCTCAGGCAACACTTACTGGGGCCTTCTCATGCCGAGCCGAGCAGAGGAGGCTTTTGGAAAGTTTTTTTTTGGGTCAGGGTGGGAGGACTGGGAATGACAAGGGAGGTATGTTAGGTACTGAGGATAACTGGGATTATGTTTCAGACTGGTTTACTTCTAAACCTATGACCAACAAACATTTATGGAATAGTTTTGAATAGCCACACAGAGTATTTTTCCAAGCAATGTGATGGGCATTTGCCCACCGGAGGGCATGTTTAATCCCCGGTTTAACTGGATGGCATATGATGTGGAGCCCTGCTGAGGCGAACAGATTTTTGTCTGGAGCTATACATGATGTTGCCAGACAGATGTTTTAATACTGCATGGGTTAATGTAGTTAAAGTGGTTTTAAGGTTGAGATGTCACATCCATGCTGGGTCTAGTCTGATTTTGATCCCATTTTCCTCTTCCTGTGGTAATCTGTCATCGGACGTGTAAATTTACAATCCAGCTACTTCTTAATATGCTAACTGTGTGCTCACTTTTCAGAGTGGCTGAAAAGTGGCTACTTGTACTTACAGTCACGATTGTTGGATTTGACTTAACAAGGATGAGGATGCCAGTATTGCTAGAACAATTCGTCAATTAATCAATTCAATAAATAATCAACTGTTATTGGACAAAACAAGCAATTTGAAGAAAATGTGACATGCATTTTTCTGTATTTGTAATTCGCTTACAGTGAAAATAATCATTAGTTTTGGCCACGTCATAGGCCTTTTCACCACATAACTGTTTGAGCCTGTGGTCCCCAGGTGGTTGTGTTTCTGACAAAGCAACAGTAATTTATCCAGGCCTCAAAGCATTTTAGTGGTGTTTACAGAGCAGTACAGTAGGTAGACAGAGACTTTTGTTAAAGCCCTCTGTTGTTCTCAAAAGCTCACCACTGCAGTTTACCAGGGCTTGGTTGATACAAGCCTGTGTTGTGTCATAAATTAAATACAAGGATGTCAGCTTGCAGCCCAAGCAGCTGCCAAACATCCTTGTATACAACAGAGACATATCCTCAACATCAACCTCAGGTTTCTTGCAGCATTAACAACCGATTTAGTTAAAACAGAAATACAGTCGTACATCGCATGTAGGATGGCAGCCAGGAGCACAGTGTAATCTGCATATTGCAGCTGAACTTTGCTGACTGCAGGTTTGGTTTTAGCGTGGAGGTGTCTAATGTTAAATAGCCTCCTAAGGGCAACTGAACCTGCATAACATCCTCAGCCTTTAGGGGTCAGTGGGACAGGTGTGACTGCTGCCAGGATCTAAAACCTCCTTGCATGCAGACACACACAAACACACAAAAGCATACACAAACATCTATTCCAACTGAAATCTTCTGTCTCTGTGCGTCTCTGTTAGGCAGATTGATTTACCAGAGATTCACTTACTCTAAGATAATTTGTGAGTGTTCTCCTGAGGCTGTGGGTTCTGCGTATTGACTCAGAGTCACACTCTTCCCCTATTTGTTGTGACAGGAGCACTATTTAGGCTGTGTCTCTCAATTACAGCAATAAGGTGACAGCTCTCCTTCCAGCGTCCTCCTCTCCTTCTTTTCTGCTGTATTGGTGAATTTAATGTGAATAAGTTCACTGCAAAATAATTGTTTGTGGTCACTTAAGACTATATTCTTGCTTCCTGATTTGTTGACTATTTCCTTACAGTTGCCTCCAGAACTACATTCCCCCAGAGTCTCTGACACTCTCGTGCCCAGTGTGTCGGCAGACGTCCATCCTGCCAGAGAAAGGAGTTTGTGCCCTGCAGAACAACTTCTTTATCACTAATCTCATGGAGGTTTGAGTCCTCATCCCTTTTATACTTCAAGTCAGACACAAATTACATGGAACAAAGGACAAAACACACTTTAAACCAATTATGAGGTTAACAACAAAGCAAAGATTGTTTAAAACAATTACAGACAGCACAACAAAATGGGACAGAGGTTCTGTGTGTTTCTGTATTAGTGTTGTGAGAACCACTCTTGGTGTTAAAGAGAGGGAGGACATTTTTGCAGACTGAGGTCATTCTGGACCGACATTTCTTCTCCAAGGGTCTCTTTTTAGGGTTTGTATTATATCATGCATAAGGGGTGATGATTTAGGTATTAAAGTTAGCACTGGGATGTAGGGAATTAAAACACTAAGAATATTTTTTTGTATACCATACCATATACTGTTATCGCAATGTTCCCAGTTAGATTTGGACCTTTGTTTTATGTAATTTCCCTCCCTCTCTCCCTTTCTTTTTTGTCACTTCACAATTGTCCACTGTCAAATAAAGGCAAAAATGCCACTAAAATACTTAATCTTAAATAATGTGCCCATTGAAATAAGCATGATGAAGTTTTAATATTTTTGACCAGGTCCTTCAACGAGACCCAGAGTGCTCTCGTCCAGAGGCCTGCAGTGTCCTGGAGTCAGTCAGCGCTGCAGCTGCAGGGAAGCCACTCTGCTGCCCAAACCACGAGGGGAAGGTGGGAAGCCCTTTTGTGATGCCTCAGCCCAGTCATCCCATTACTAAAAACTCTTTTGTTTTAGCAATAATTAATGTAAAAGAAACTGAAAGTTTGTCTCCCTCTGCAGGTGATGGAGTTCTACTGCGAGTCGTGTGAGACAGCCATGTGTCTGGACTGTACAGAGGGTGAGCACCGGGAGCATGTGACTGTTCCTCTGCGGGATGTCGTAGAACAGCACAAGGCTGTGCTGAAGACACAGCTGGATGCCATACACAGCAGGTGGGAACTTGATACTTTAGTACTTTGTTAAAGCTTTGAGAATATTTCCTTCACATCAGGTATTTGGAAGCTTAAGCATTTGGCCCAGATTTGGCATCTGGCATCAAAGATCACCCATGTGATCATGCCTGGCATGTTAAAACATAGTAGTGAGTATAGTGGCCCATTTCATTAAAGTATAATGTTGTTTTTCTAGCTTTAGTTATTCATCAGAATTTTTTTTATGTACATTTTATTTAGAATTAATTATATGATCACTGTTGTGGTTTTTATTTTAATTTTAAAATATTTTGCTTCTTTTTAGTTTCAGTTCTACAATCTTTGGAGGAAAATTTTACATTGTGTTATCTTGCAGGCTCCCTCAGCTAACAGCAGCCATCGAGCTGGTGAGCGAGATCTCTCGCCAGCTGAATGAAAGGAAGACTGAGGCGGTAGCAGAGATTACCAGTACGTTTGAAGAGCTGGAACGGGCGTTGCATCAGCGCAAGACGGCCCTCATTACAGATCTGGAGAACATCTGCAGCACTAAGCAGAGGGTTAGTTATCTTTCACGCTCATTCAGGTGCACTTGCATCTCTGCACACTCACTGTCAGACACACAAACACACACAGGCATTTTACAAGCAGGTAGTCTCACATGACCTGCCACATGTCTCACATTCCTGTCAACACACTTCAGCCTGCTGACTTAATGATTTTGACTTTTCCACTCTTGCTCCCCCTCTTGCTCTTTTGTGTCCCAAATCTTCCACTTACCTGAGTGCAGGTCCTGCAGGCTCAGCTTTCATCCCTCCTGCAGGGGAAGGAGCACATCCAGAGCAGTTGCAGTTTCACAGAGCAGGCTCTCAGCCACGGGAGTGCTACTGAGGTGGGCTGGCAGATTGTAATTTGTACAAGCAAGCTAACAAACAGGTTACAACACATATGGGAATCAGCTGACTGCCGCAGTAGTGTAGCAGAATGGGAACTCCTGCTGAATATTTTTGTATTAAAAACACAAATGAAAAATAAAAGGCAGGAGGCAACACAGTATGTGTCTCTTGCAAGTGTAGGTGCTGCTGGTTCAGAAGCAGATGAGCGAGCGGGTAACAGCGCTGGCCAGACACGACTTCCCAGAGAGACCACATCAGAATGCACACCTGGAATGTCAGGTAATGTTGTCCATTATGATTCAAACTATTTCTCTGTTACTGATTTCAATTCTGGTTGCCTGCTTGATATTCCCAAATGGTCACAATTTTATGACATTTTAAAAACTATAAAAAACAAGCAATAATAAAATATTGTTTATTTTGTTTGCTGTCTGTTTCAGGTGGAGACCGAAGGTCTGCGACGCTCCATCCAGAACCTGGGTGTTCTCCTCACCACGGCCGCTGTGGCTCACACCTCTGTTGCCACAGGAGAGGGCCTCCGCCACGCAGCTACTGGGCAGCACCACACAATTACTGTGACAACAAAAGACAAAGTACTAAATTATTAAGCCCCCTGCTATTTGTTTTATGTGTAAAGCCCGAAGCAAGCAGCATTACATTTAGCTTTTGCTAATGTGTTTGCTTTAGTCACATATTCATTTTAATTTCATTCAAATTTATATTTCATGCAAATTTTCTTTTGTTATTCTCTTGCAAGAAGTCACCTTCTTTGTAGTGGTCACCAAGGCAATTAACAGGGATTATTATTATCAAAATCCAATTTGTTAGGAGCTTCTTATGTGTCTGAAGAAAGTGCTGCCTTAGAGGTTGTAATCACGTGCGTATTGCTTGAACATAAAGAGATGTATTTCAGTCTGAAATTGAATCAGGGACTTCTATCTGCAGGATGGGGAGTTGGTGCGGACAGGAAACGCTATTTTAAAAGCAGAGATATCGTCTGCTGATGGGAGCCGTGCTGCAGAGACAGAGATAGTGGACAATAAGAATGGGACATACGAGGTGGGCTACACAGTACGCTCTGAGGGAGAGTACTCTTTCGCTCTGTTGCTGTATGGCCAGCCGATACGTGGTAGCCCGTTCCGCCTGCGGGCGGTCAAACCCTCGGATGTGCCACAATCTCCAGATGACGTGAAAAGGAGGGTGAAGTCTCCCAGTGGGACAGGGGGCCACATACGACAGAAAGCAGTGCGACGGCCTTCCAGCATGTACAGCACCACCAAGAAAAAGGAGAACCCCATTGAGGATGAGCTCATCTACAGAGTGGGTAAGACAGATGCAAAGTCCACATACTGTAACCAAGTACCATGTAAACCTGCATCAGAATGTCCTCCATAAAGGCAGCACATTGTTTGTTTTGCATGTTTTATCATACTAACTATGAATCAGGAATACTTATCACATGCAACAAGTTCTTAGATTGATTAGTTTTTACTTCATGCCAGTAGACTACGGAATGTAACTTGCTATGACCTGATAGAATATGTAACATTCAGAAAAAACACTGCATTCACAAGCTTCAGTATGAGGGAGAAGATCAAATGCAGAAAACAAATATGGATGTCATGAAAAGGGTGATAGAGATAATTTGGTGGTTGCTTCTTGAATAAAATGAATGAAGGTGCAACATTCTCACTGTGGAGGATTACCTATCACAAGTTGTTTTTTCAAGTCTTTGCAGGTTTGCATTTTTTAACTGTACCTGCATTTGCCTGGGAAGTAGGGAAATGTATCCAAAAACTTAAAACTTATCAGCATCAATGCACACAGTGTAACCAATGTTGGTCCAATACCACTGGCATGAGCCTTTCAGGAAATATTGCACACTGAGACTGAGGTGTAAATATCAAACGACACATTTACTGAGAGTGTGACTATTCATTTGTCAGGTACCCGGGGCAGAGAAAAAGGGGAGTTCACAAATCTGCAGGGAATCTCAGCCTCTAGTAACGGCAGAGTGGTGGTGGCTGACAGCAACAATCAGTGCATACAGGTGAGATAAACACAGAGAGCAAAATGCGTGTAAGTGCAACCATGTATGGTCACATAGAACAGGAGAATACTGTTGTAGTACTGTGATCATGACACATTTCACTCAAAGGGGGCTCTCTGATGAAACTGATTACAGGTATTCTCCAATGATGGCCAGTTCAAGATGCGCTTTGGGGTCAGAGGTCGGTCTCCGGGACAGCTGCAGAGACCGACAGGCGTTACTGTGGACATGAATGGTGACATCGTGGTGGCAGACTATGACAATCGATGGGTCAGCATCTTCTCCTCTGATGGCAAGTTTAAGGTGAGATCTTATAGCATCTTATTTCTTTTCCTATTGAAAAATACATTGTCTGAATTAAAAGAAAATCCTGCATGAAGAATTTATCTAACAACAGCCTCCTACTTAACATAACAAAATATATAATATAAAAAGGAACTACGCTAAATAATTTCAAAGTATTTAGTATTTCCCTTCTTTCTTTCCATGCTAAAATCATGTTTGTCTTCCTCCTTCACAGAATAAGATTGGTGCAGGACGGCTCATGGGTCCCAAGGGTGTGGCTGTGGATAAGAATGGACACATCATCACTGTTGACAACAAGGCCTGCTGTGTCTTCATCTTTCAGTCCAATGGGAAGTTGGTGACTAAGTTTGGAGGCAGGGGGACGTCTGACAGACAGTTTGCAGGTGAGAACAACAGACAGGGAGCTCACAAACAATGCCCTCTCTTTCAAGAATGCCTACGTGCCTCCAAGCTTTTAAAGCAAATCGCTCATATTTCCCGTATTAAATATGATATATGACATCACAAAATATCGTATGGATATTATACACATCGTTTTGGATTTTGAAAGAGTTCTGCAATATGTGTTGCAGCTTTTGTTACTCCATTGTTCAGCACTAATGTAAGAAAAAGCACTCATTGTGACTAACGGAGGCGCTGTTTAAAATGTCAGCTTGGGGGAACAAACAGAGTTACAATTGAGGCTTGTATTTCAATAGTGCACTTCCTGGAACAATCTGGAATATTCACCAAATGTTGTCTTCCTCCCTAAAGTTGTATTGTAAAAGTATAAAAAAATAACTTACAGGATAACAGTCAGTATGTGGTGTTACAACACTAAGCCCAATGCAGAAGACTGGGTGTATTTTTGAGGTATCAATGTCCATTTCTTCACTCTTTTTTTTTTTACACTTTTATTGCCAGTTTGAGAAAAATAATAATATATAATATATAATAATAATATATAAATAGTATATATTTTGAATATAGATCAATGCATTGTATTAAGTGTTAAAAAATATAAGCCTATATAAACCTGAAGCAGTGCCCCCCTGCCCCGCACCCATCAAATTGAGCCTGTGCTGACCACCCTGCTCTATTTTCTTCTTTGCTTATCCTTCATTTCTGACTACCTATTTTTCTTTCTTTCTGTTCTTCCTCCTGTTTTTCAATCCAGAAAAACTTGGCCCAAACTTAAATAAATCTGGCTCAGTTTTCAGTAAGTACTAAGTGTGGCCTTGCTGCAACCTTAATCCCACAGTGCGGTGCCCTCTGTCTAACCCGACTCCCCGATCATGTGTTTGACCTCCTGAGAACTCAGATTGCCAAATTGTTGGATAAAGCTGTGCCTGTACAGTAATGATCAGAGATACAAGTACATGCAAGTTGTAATAATCACTTACTATTACAATAATGAACATTTTGTCATGTGTATTGTGTTTTCTGTATGGAAGTCCTGAAAGACAAGTGAAAAAAAAAAATATTCTGGTGATCCATTTTTTATGTCTGATCTAAATTGTTTCCTCTCTTGTTTTTATGACTTAAGACCAGGTGAAAAAAAAGGCTGCCAGGTGAAAATGTATTTTTTGTCATGATCACTTTTGTGTTTGTTGTTGCAATATTCATTTCGGCCACAAGAGGCTGAAGTGCACCACTACCCCAAGTTCTAAAAAGGACTAAAAGCTGTTGAGGAAAGGGATCTCTTTAAACCCTTATCCTCGCGTGTTCTTTAATGAAGCAATAGGAAAAGATTTAGTTTACTCAATAATCAGCTTTATTCTTAA